CACTGAATTTGATTCTCAGCACCACATATAAAAGATTCATCAACATCTAAAACAATATTTTTTTAAAAAAGCCTGACCTTGTCCTTGCACGCTTATAGATTTTACTGTAATTAACATCTCACTCTTTGGTCATCAAACTATGATTACAAACTTCTTTTAATTCAAGAAAAGGGAGAAAGAATTTACGTAAGGCACCTGAAGAAACAAAAAAAGACAAAAAAAAAAAGTACAAAACACATTTCAATTAAAAGTATAAGTGAAATGAGATTACAGACATTTAATTAAATCAATTAATTATAAAACTTACACAATGAAATCCCATTCAGTCACCAAACATTATGATCCAGAATTTTATATATCCAAATGATATACTAGTGAACACACACAAGAGGCACAAAAATATATACATTGTGTATATATATTTATACTAAAATGGTAACAGAGGTTTTCCTTGGATAGTAGGATTTGAGTAACTTCTTTCTAGTTTATCTCATTTTTAAAAATGCATATGTGTTATTTATAACACAAAGAAATAATAATCTACAGGGTTGGGAGTACAGCTGAGTGGTAGAGCACCTGTGCAGGATCATGCAGGAGGCTGTGGGTTCAATCCCCAGCAGTGCAAATCATCACCATCATCATCAACAACAACAACATCATCATCCTCTTCAAAAAATAAAATACAGGAATTTATTTCCTTAGAACATTTTGCCCTTTGTATAATAAACTAATTTCTTAAGGAGCATAAACGTGTAAACCTGCATACACACACACACACACACACACACACACAATACATAGCTATATAAACAAAGAGATCAAACTGGGAGAAGCAAAAGGCTAGGGTCACAAGTTATAATCTGGGTTCCCAGGCAAGAAAGGAAAGCTGAAGAAATGTCATGCAGAGGTTAAGTTCTTGATACTTTAAATTTTTCCTTTGTTCATTCATAAGCTCAATGGAAAAACTGATGCAACTATAATTAATTAGCAGTACTTGTATTAAAAATATTTAAGTCAGTGTAAAACTATACTAAAATAATAAATAATTAAAATTTAAAAATTTTAAAGCAAACTTTCTGTAATGGTTAATTTGAATTGTCAGCTTGACTGGTTTAAGAAATGCCAAGGATTAAGAGGCTTATGGGTGTGTCAATGATGTTGTTTCTAGGAATGATTGGCATGTGGGATAGCCAACTGAAATGGAGACACTCCCTGAGCATGGGCAGCACTATCCAATAAGATGATGACCTGGATGGAATACAAGTTGGAAGACCAAAGAAACAGCACAGATGCAAGCTTCCATTCTTCTTGCTGCTGCGATGGATCATCTGAGGATGTTGGACTCTCGCTTCTTCACTCTTCCAAAGCAGACTCTGCCAGTGATTTCCCCAGAAGCCTTTAGTCTCAACTAGCACCATTGATCCCTCTTGTTCTGGAGCTTCAGCCTCTTGGACTGTGCAGCTACTGGTTTTTCCAGCTCTGCAGCCTGAAGATGGCCACTGTGGACTATCCAGTTTCTGGTCATGTAAGCCAACCTAATAAGTCCCCTTTTTATAATTATACTTCCTGTTGATTCTTTTCCTCTAGAGAACCCCGATTCCTACACTCTCCTTAGCGATAACAATGATAAAACACTAGAACACACAAATTTTGGAGTTTTCCATCCTTAAAATCATGTTCTACAAAGGTAACTAATTCTTCTGATTGAAGATTAGTGGTTGGTACAGTTATCTTTCATATATATACTTTCAACTCTGGGACTCTGACTGAGGAGAAAATTTTTATACACATCACCACTGTATTACTCTCTTAACTTGGCAGAAGAGAAAAGGACCCTTAAAGATACAAGATATCAATTACAACGGAAAGTAACAAAGTTAACACATAAAACTGACCAGATACAATACCTAAAAATAATTCAATCAAAATAAAAGCAGGTAACCTATACTGATACTACTCATTTTGTAAATGAATTGTACTATAAAATTCCAGATGTCTACAAAAATGTTTTCTCCTACTGCCCCACATTTTCAAGTAAGCAAGAAGACAGCTAATCTACAGTATCACAGCAACTATATCACAATTATATAAAAAATTTCCACCAGTATTTACTGAGTTTTTGGAAGACTAGGCTACAACAAATAACAAACAGTATTACATAAATATAAAACTGAACACACAGGCAATATTTCTCAAAGTGGCAATTTGATTTCCAGGCTGTTTATATTATGTGGAACAGGAGATAACAGTACAAACCATTGCTGTACAGCAACCAGGGGCCAAAGAGCTGCGGTGAGTCTTTCAAACACTTCTGAGCACTGATTAGTTGCCAGGAATACAAAGTTGTATATCATGTCCCTGATCTCAAGATTTAAAGACATGAAAGTCCTTAAAGCCATGGGTAATATACCTAGGATAATTAACAAGTACTTTAAAAACTAGATGGTACAGACTGAAAAACTGCTATGTCCTTACATACCTATAAGACCCCATCCCTATCCCAAGGTTAGTTTAATAAAACAGGGTTATATGTGAATCAACTTATTGTATATTTGAAACCTCCAATAAAATTAAGAAATCCTTTTTGTTCTGTAATTTTATAAAATTGGGTAAAGTTCATCTGAGAGTCAACACTGTTCTGTAATACACAATATGAGGAATATCAGTAAAAAATGATACTCGATGAAAAAATATATAAGGCTTTTAATTTACTATCTATGAATAAGTTAGGAAAGGTAATTTGTAACATCATTAAAATGAAAGTACATTACATAAAGAGAGCTATATACCTCTCTTTCTAATAAATTTTAACAGGAAAAATAGTGTTTTTTTTTAAGAAGTTTCTTTTTTAAACAATTTTTTTTTTCTAAATTGTATGTGGACACAATACCTTTTTATTTATTTATTTTTATGTGGTGCTGAGGATCAAACCCAGTGCCTCACAGGTATTAGGCAAGTACTCTACCACTGAGCTACGCCTCCAGCCCCAAAAAGTTTCATATTTTTTAAATTATATAATACTTGTTTGATATTAAAGAAAAAACATATCGAAACAAAAACTATCCACAATGCATACTTCAAATATAATCATACGAACCTTTTAGTGTCTTTTTTTCCTAGAACATTTTCAATAAAACATATATACTTTTCCTTTTTTTTAACAAAAATAGAACGAATCAATATATACAAAGCAATTTAATTTCATCAACCTAACAATCCATGCATATCATATCATTCATTACAAAATTCAACAATATAACTCTCAATGGATGCAGATATCCCAATTATAGAGATAAAATAATTTATTAAACAGTCCCTACTTTTAAATACATAATATTAAGAAAAAGGTAGAAACAACCTTGGAAGGACTGTTATGGGCAAGACTGTTATGATATGTATAAGAGATAGAGAACGAGCGAGCACGTGAGTGAGCACTAAATAAATTCATGAGCACGCGAATGAACAGTAAATAAATTCATGCAGATATATGCCATCTGCACACTTACCTAATTATTTTCTTGAGATTCTTAAAAGTAAAACTACTATGCAGGTATGTATGCTTTTAGGCTTTTGATACTTACTGATATACTGTCTCCTTTAGGAAGGTTATTCTAGATTTATATAGGGGCTCTAAACCATACAAACCCAATCATACCTTGAAAACTCTTATTAGACTTTATGATTAAAAATAATTACTCTCAACTTGATGGTAAACCTTTTTCAATGGAATAAATTGCAATACAATTTGATGGTTATCATATAAAGAAACATCTGGGATCGTAACTTGAGTTTAAAATAATAAATTGTACTCAGATTTTAAAATGAATAAAAGAAATATTAAAGAAATCTTACAAAATTATATAAATAGTAGCAGTAAACAATCAATTTTGGCACTTAAAAAAAGAATATTAGAATGGTTTAAAGACATAAGTTTGAAAACAAAATGGTAACATTAAGATGAAATAAATGCTAGGATTATCCTCTAGATATAACAATTGAGAAGAAAATCAAAATAGGTCATGCCTAATAAGAAACGTATTCCTGTTAAGTTTAAAATCAAATTTGTCTGTTATCAATTATTATCAGCATCATTATAACTAACATTACTGCCAAGGACACTTCTCCCTTGATCAATAACAATAAAGGCTCTGCATATCTTCAAACACTGTGTCAGTGAAGAGCTGTGTCCTTATAGGCTTAACTAACTTTCCCAAACTCAGCAAAAACAACAAAAAAACATAATCTCCTGACTTCTAATCAATAGTCTTTTTCAATTTTTTAAAATTTATTCTACTTAGTTGTACATGACAATAAAATGCATTTCAATTCATCATACACAAATGGAGTGCAACATTTCAATTCTCGGATTGTTGTATAGAGACACATCATACATGTACCTAGGGTAATGATGTCCATCTCATTCCACCATCTTTCCTATCCTCAATATTCTTTTGCATAAATTCTTCCAAAGAATGTCTTATTGCAACTCTAGCTCTTCAGATATTAAAAAGAAATGTCCTGACACAAATAGATAAAATGAATGTAGCAATAAACTGAGCTTCAGAGTCTCTAATATTCACAAAAGTTTCAGTACAAAAAATATTAAAAGCACAAATTTTAAAAAATAAAAACTGGGGAGATAGCTTTTTAGAATTTGATATGCCTAGTTGATTTATTTAAATCCTATCCATGAATAAGTTAAGAAAGGTAATTTGTAAAATCATTAAAATGAAAGTACATTATACTTGGCAAAGACAAACTTCATTTTCAATTTTAATTTAGTGTACCAAAATTTTAAAGACATTAGGATATAATGTAAGATATCATGTATAAAATAATAATGATAATAATAAAGTGTATTTGATAATTTTACTTATTTTATTTAAAAATGCTTTCAAGAGACCATAAAATTGTGTTTAATAAAAAGTTACTAAATAACAATTTTTCATTTGTTAAATGGGGCAGGAGCTTAAATTTTAAAATAAAACTTAAAAAATTACCTTCAAATAAACTGAGGTCTCTTCGTAGCCGTGGTCCATAAAGCCCTTCTAAAATACTCTCAAAACCTGTGTTTTCAAAGAGAGAAAAGTGTATTAATTACTGGAAAAGCTTTATTTTACAACAGTTAAAAACCATAAGCATATATATATATACACATATATACGTATACATATATATATATATATATTTTTTTTTTTTTTTTTTTTTTTTTTTTTGCTACTAGGGCTTGCTACCAGTGAGCAATATCCCAGTCCTCTTATTTTCTTGAGACAAGATCTCACTAAATTGCCAAGACTGGCCTCAAACTTGTAATCCTCCTTCCTCAGCCTCCCTTTTGTATCCACCAGCAATTTATTGATTTAACATATTGTGTTTTTCCCTGTAGTTTAATTAAACTGAACTAGGCAAAAATACGCTTAAGTAATTTCTGAGCATGGCTTTATTTCAGCGTTATTTCTCTCATTCCAGCGTCGGACTCCACTTCCTCCACAACCAAGTCTGACAAACTCATTATGGCTGAGATCCATAATTCAGTAAGTCAAAATTGAAGAAGACAGAAATACAAGAGAAAAATTCTCTGCCTTCAAAAGAAACAACTGAACAGAAGAAACAAGCAGACGAATCCTAAGGAGTCATGCACTGCCAACATGCAGTGTACATTCTACAAGCACTGCCTTCTTACTGTATTTATTTTAGCTCTTTAACTTTGTAAGATACAAAGAAGTTAAATCAAGTTTAAATGACTGTGCTGCCTCTTTTCACATCAAAAAACCAGGGACTACTAACAACAACGAAGGCCTGCCTCTACCATCTGGCTGTCTTATTGTCAGGGAAAGAAAAGAACTTGCATGTTAGTGAAGAAAGAAGTTGGGTGGAAGGAGGGTAAAATCTAGAGTGAGATCCAACCTGGTGCAAGGTGTCCTACAGGCTATAAAATACAGTTTAATCAGACTGCCCTTTTGTTGTTGTTGTTGCTTGGCAGTGTCAAGGACTAGAAATTTCAATGAGATCAAATCAATTTTATTAAATCAATCGGTAAGTTCTGCATGATGAACTGTCACTGTTATTGGTGGTTATTCTATCCTCTCAAAGTGCTGCTAAGGCTTGAACAGAGCACTTGGAACACATTAAAAGTGGGTGCTTTTTTTGTTTTTTAAGATTTTTAATTTGTTTGTTCTTTTAGGTATATATGACAGTAATGTGTATTTTGCCATATTATACATACATGGGGTGTAACTTATTCTAACTAGGATCCCATTCTTGCAATTACACATAAGGTGGAGTTACACTGGTTGTGTATTCATACATGAACTTATAGGAAAATTATGTCTGATTCATTCTACTGCTTTCCAGATCCCAACCCCATTCCCTTCCCTTCATTTCCCTTTGTCTAATCCAAGGAATTTCTATTCTCCCCCTCCCCCAACCTTACTGTGTGTTAGCATCCACATATCAGAAAGAACCTTCAACCTTTGGCTTTGGGGGATTGGCTTATTTCACTTAGCATGATAGTCCATTTACCGGCAAATGCCATAAATTTCATTCTTCTTTATGGCTGAGTAATATTCCATTGTGTATACATACCACATTTTCTTTATCCATTCATCTGTTAAAGGGTACCTAGTTTGGTTCCATAGTTCAGCTATTGTGAATTGAGCTGCTGTGAACCTGATGTGGCTACATCACTGTAGTATGCTGATTATAAGTCCTTTGGGTATATACTGAGGAATAAGATAACTGGGTCAAATGGTGGTTCCATTCCATGTTTTCTGAGAAACCTCCATACTGCTTTCCATAGTGGGAAGTGTACCAATTTGCAGTCCCACCAACAATGTATGAGTGGTACCCTTTTCCCCTAAATGGGTGCTTTGACACTGAGATACACCCCAACCTGGGAAACATCATAAAGAGAAAGTAACTCATTAAAAAGACTCATAACAGTGAAAGAGATATCTATCCCAACAGATGCACAAATCTCAATACAGAAATACAGGAAACATAAGAATAAAAGTGAATAAAACACCTCCAAAAATTTGTAACTCCCAATAACCAATCCACAGATGTCAAAGCGGAGGAAATATCAAACAAAGATTTTTTAAAGTTGTGGTTAAAATGATCAACAAGTTAAGAGAACTAAGACATGAACCAAGGAAGATGATATGAAGCTTGAAAGAGTGTTTCAATAAAGAGATAGTATTCTGAAAAAGAACCAAACAAATACTGAAAATTAAAAAAGAAATCTGTATGTAAAATGAAAAATTCAGTGGAGAGTGTTGCCAATACACTAGATCAAACAAAAGAAAGAATATTAAGGTCAAAGACATGGTGGATGAATTAGAACTCTAAGTTTTTTACAAAAAAAGAAAAAGAAAAAATATAATATATTAGAGCTCTGGGAAGAAGAGGAGATACAGATTAATGGAACAGAAACCTTATTCAATAAAATAACTGCAGAATTTTTCCCTAATCCTTGAAATAAGTTGGACAGGCAGGTACTGGAGGCATTAAGAACTCCAAATAGATATGACCAAAAAGAACTACTCTCTGAAAGTGAAATACCAAAATTCAGAACTAAAAATTTTACTTTTATCTGCTTACATATTCTTATTTTTAAAAATCTTTTTGTGGGGATTGGACCCTGTGGTGCTCTTCAACAGAGCAACATCCCTAGTCCTTTTTATTTTAAGACAGGGCCTTGCTATGTTGCTCAGGCTGGCCTCAAACTTGCTATCCTCCTACCTCAGCCTCCCAAGTAGCTAGGAGGTGATCATTAGGTGATCACTCAAGACATATGCACCTGGCAAGAAAAAATTTTAAAAGCTGCAAGAGATAAATACCAAGTCACTTATAAAGGCAAACCAATCAGAATAACAGCAGATTTCTTAGTATAAACTCTAAAAGGCAAGAAGGGCAAGGAATAATGTATTTCAAGCCCTGAAAGAAAACAACTGCCAACCTGCATGACAACATACAGCAAAATGATCCATCTGAACCAAAAGGGAAATAAATATCTTCCAACAAAAACCATAATCTAATGGAATTCACGACCACTAAGATAGAAGCAGAAGATACTTAAGGGACTCCTACCCAGAGAAGATGATAAAAATAACCAAGACAGCTCAGGAAAAGAGAAAATCTCATTAGCAGAGTACATAAGCAAATGAGAATCATGAGCAAACATTAAAATAAAATGATAGGAAACAAAACATACCTCTTTGGGTTATTCCTGAATGTAAAAGTCCTTTAATCTCAATGAAAGACATAGACCGGCAGACTGGATTAAAAAACGAGATTCAAGCGTATGTTGTCTCCAAAAAAGGCATCTCGCTGGCAAAAACACTCACAGACTTAAAGCAAAAGGACGGGAAAATGACATTCCATGTAAATGGAAACCAAAAGCAAAAAAGAGTAACTATTCTCATATCTAACAAAACTGACTTCAAGCCCAGAGTCAAAGAGGCAAAGATCACCACATATTGATACTATGTAATTTACAAGAAAGTGCATGAACTGAAGAACATGGAGCATGTTAAGCAAAATAAGCTACAGACAAGTATAATATGTTTTATCTCACATACAGAAGCTAGAGGGGGGAAAAAAGATGTCATGAAAATAGAAGGGAGACCATTAGGTAGAAAAACGGGATCAGGGAGAGGGTGAAAAGGAAGGTAAGCATGTACAAATATTTCACTATCTCTACGGGAACCTACTAATCTGTATAATTAATAGCAACACTAAAAAATAATTTTAAGATGTGAGTGGTGGCATACATCTATAGTACCAGCAAATCAGGAGACTGAGACAGAAAGGTTGCCTTTTAAACTTTAAAAAAAAAAAAAAGCCTCTATTGGCAAATATTTGACTATGTACCCTCACTATCTCTATCTATATGTTAAAACACAACAAAAAAGGGAATAAAAATGAAATTTAAAAGTTTTAAACGTATTTATATTGTTTAAGTCTTCTTAATAATCATTAGGTGATCACTCAAGACATATGTATTATTCACTTATTGCTTCATAACAAAAGACCACAAACCTAGGGCCTTAGAACAATACAAATAAAGGTACAGTTAGAATGTTGACCAGGCTGCATCCTCATCTGGAGGCATGGGAAAAATTCTGATTCCTTGTTCATTCATTGAGTTCTGTTGTTAGGTCTAGGGCCATGCCACCCTGAACACGCCCTCTCTTGTCTGAATTCTGTTGTTAGCAGAATTTAATTTCTTATCAATACAAAGGAAGTCCCTATTTCCTTGACATAAGTCAAGGGCCACCCTTAGTTCCTAGAGATTACCTTTACTTCTTGATATACAACTTCCCCATTTTCAAGTCAGCAACTGTATATAGAAGTTTGAATATCTCACTTCCCTTCTACCACCAGCAGGAGAAAACTCTCTACTTTTAAAGTACTTGATTAGGTCAGGCCCACCCAATAATCTCCCTCAAGTCAACTGTGCCTTATAATAACCTAATCACCAGTCAGATGGTGGGAATGGGTAGGATATTGGGTAGTGGCTGGGCAGACTATCTTATAAGTCTGTCTACCATATCATAATAGATACTTTCAATAAAGTTCACTATTAATGATAATAGCTATAAATTTCCCTATTAATTCCCATTTTGTTATGTTTTAATTTTTTGGTCCTATTTCTTTTCAGATATAATTAAAATTACATTACTATTACCTCATAATATTCTAATAAAGAGAATACACTAGGATAGAAAAAATATACCAACTCTGAAACTTTCTTCTTGCTCACTTATGCTTAAATTTTAACATTACCTTTTTAAAAAATATTTTTAGTTGTAGATGAACACAATATCTTTATTTTATTTATTTTTATGTGGTGCTGAGGATTGAACCCAGTGCCTCTCAAATGCTAGGCAAGCACTCTACCACTGAACTACAACTCCAGCCCTTAACATTACCTTTAATCTGTGGTTTCTTTGTAGGAATCTCTGTAAGGTACTTGTTTGTTTTGTGAACCTTACGCCTTACTTTATTTAAAATTACATGACACAGCAAAAAAATAATAATAATACACTTGACTGAGTCAGGTAAG